TATATATATATATATATATATATATATATATATATATATATATATATATATATATATATATATATATATATATATATATATATATATATATATATATATATATATATATATATATATATATATGTCAACAAAGCTTTGAAAAGTTTTAACAAAATGTTTCGATATTTTATCGGCTAAGAAAAACATATAATGACATATGAAGCTTAAGTTTTCTCCATAATAGACAGGTTAGCAATATATATTAAGTCAACTGATAAAATTATTCGAACAATGGTGCTATTAGCATAACTTGCTAGCTCCATCGATATCGTAATGCGTGATGGCATGTCTTCAGTCCGATTATAATCAAATAGGCTTCACAATTAATTTCGTACTTTTTTCTATCCATTTTTCCACTTTTCTTCTCACGGTTCTTGTGAATTTCGTGCGAAAATTCCTTTCATTTAGATGAAATAACATTTCGATTTCTGTACCATTTTTCATAGTAGAACAAAGTGAAGTTTACAAAATTAAAAAAAAAATATGGATGACCTCCCAGAAACACATATACGTCATACGTCTCTTAGTAAACCAAAAAATCAAAAGAAATGATTACGAGAGAAGGTTACTGGATAAATTGTATTCGAACAATATTTGACAGCTTTCGGTAATCTCGCGACCAGCAACCAGTTCGCTCTGTAGGAGCATGTAAATCAACTTCACGCCCAAAATATTTTATCAGCCGAGGGTGCAACCTGACAGATAGATAAATAAGATAAATGAAGACAAATAAATGGTGGTAGGTAAATAAATAAATTAATCAGTTGAATAAACAAATAAATGAATAAATAAACAAATAAAATAAATAAAAAATAAATAAATAAATAAATAAATATATGTATATATATATATATATATATGTAAAAGGTAAATAAAAATGGGAATTCATTTTTGAGATGACCTTAAGAACGAATTTCTCTAGAAAAAAAATTTTACCTAAACTGAAATGTAGCATCTTTCGGTTGTGGCAATATTTCTGAAAAATCAAAGTAATTCAGCAAATATTGGGTGGAATCAGAAAATAAGAGACTTTGACATTAAATGTATCTATTTCATTCTGTCCAGATCTCGATTTTTTTATCAAATAATATACAGTAGAGAAAATATGCTAAGAAAAATATGCTAATGTAACGATATAATGTATAATGTATGGTGTTGTAATAAAAGGGAGAAATTCTCATTGAAAATTAGTAGTGCATAAGATTCTAAAAAAATAACAAACATGAACAACTCTTAGATTTAAATCCAAAGCGATAAAAAATATCTAATGAAGATCTGTAATGATATATTGTGTAATCACTTATTTATTTACAGAAAACTGAAGAACCAACCTCCATCCAAATTCCACGAGCCCTGAGCATCAGTTGCATCAGAGGAGTCATTAGTATTCATATGTTCAAGCAAGGAAGCAGGGGTGAATGCCCACCGAGCAACTCGGAAAACATTTAGCTTATTGCCCATCGATAAAACACTTTTCGGTCCGCTCATTGCAACTTTTCGAATAAATGACAAATTGGAACATCGCGAAATTCGTGGAATCAGAGCTAAATCCATGCTCCCATCACCAATGCCAGTAAACGGGGCCAGCCCATACGGTGTAAATGGACTAACACAGGGCACCACGCAACATATGATATGGGAAAATTCAGTTTGTAAATGAAACGGATAGTTCTTATCAGCTTCAACACTTCTACAAAAAATGTTAAGTCGCGATCTAAGAAAAAGGAGCATATCATTAGATCAAGTCATTGCCTGGTAAAAAATATGTGGTTTTGTAAGCTAAGTTTCGTACCCATATTTATAGATAAAGCAATCACCGTAAAGAAGAAACTAGTAAGAGTTATAAAGAGTTGTCTGGAATTTTTTCAAAAAAAACAGTCGAAATTATTTTACACATGAATTCTGGTTTTCAAGTTTATATGACGAAATATTCTTCCAACTACATAAAAGTAGTAAATGAGTTTATCTTACATTCTATAGCGTAACTACGGCTACACCTACTTGAACGATGAGATGGAAAAGGAACACAAGGTTTACGGAACAAAAGAAAGGGAGTTCAGTAGGAAAGGGAATATATACAAGTTAAGATACAAGGACGAATGTTCGTATGTTTTTTCGACTTTCCATCTATTTTTGAAAATCTATATTAATTTTCTACAATTTAAAAATCACTTGTCACAGATGGAACATGGATTAGTGCATTTTGGCAAAATACTTAAGTCGTTCTTTTCAGCAGCTTCCGGGATTAAGCTAAACGATACACGACCAAAATAAGCAGGATTACGGACTGTTGTTCGTAAAGCTGAAATATGCTACTTGAAGTGAAGCAGTATTTATCAAATGCACTAAAAAATATCTAGATGAGTAAATAAAAAACACGAAATTCAATCTCATCAAATGCAAAATATACCGGAATATTGATATCTCAGAGGTCCCATCCATCTATATCGCTCAGAATCGGCTAATACATCACCAAGCCAACCATATGAAACTGCATTTGCAGATATCCGCATGAGATCATCACCCCTATGGACCGTGCACACGTCTACCGAACATTTACTACCTAACATAAATTAACAAATGGAAATCCGATTCTGCAAAAGTCTCAAGTAAAAGATAAACAATGGCATAAACACTAGTCACTTTTCCTATTTTTTGCCAAAGCCTTGGCTTTTATGTTCATTTCGTTTTGCGACAATGCTGATCCAGGTTTAGCGAAAAAAGCAAACTTTTTGTAATAAAAACCAAAGAGAGCAACTTTCTTATTTTCATTTCAGAAGGAAACTTTCGAAAACCTACCGAGTGCGATATGTATAGCAGCAGTTGGGCAATCATCAGTGCCATGAACGGAAGAAACAATAGAATTTGCAGAACCAGCACCAATTATACCAAAACGCATTCGTGGCGTCTTCAGGACATCAATGTTAACATCAGATATATCCTTTCCTGCTTCTTCCTGTGTCCTAGAAATTTTCAGAATAACAAATGTACAGCAGACAACTGGTGTCCAATGAAAAGTGAGTAGTTGGAGGAACCTCATTTCATGCTACAGTAAGTAAACTTCGCAGTGCACTGTTTTTAGATTTGAAAAATGTGTAAAACGTTCAACGAAAGGAACGTATAATGATCAGAGAAATGAATAAACAAAAACAGACAAAGAATTCGCGTGAGTAAAAATAAAAAAGGCGTGAGTCATAAAGCTTATATAAATATGAAAACACAGCGAGTTTGTTACAAAACAAGGACGAATATCTACTAAGCATACATTGTGAAACGGGAAAACTTAACTAAAGTAATCTTAATTTACTTAAAACTTAATTAAACAAAACTTCGTCTATCCTAAGTTTCCTCGAGCATAACATGAATCTTTTAAATTTTCTTAACCGTGCTGCAGCGAAGATCGAGGGTCCGCTTATTGCAATTAATCACTGGCTAATTAATTACTAGCTAGTAGCTCTAGCTACCAGTGAGAGTGACTGCACTATCAAA